GTATGTGTGGTGTGTCTGTGGTGTGTGTGTGTGGTATGTGTGTGGTGTGTATGTGGTGTGTGTGTATGATGTGTGGGGGGGTGTGGAGGGGGTGGGAGGGACGTGTGTGTGGTATGTGGTGTGTGTGGTGTATGTATGTGGTATGTGGTGTGTGTGGTGTGTGTGTGTGTGTGTGTGTGTGTGTGTGTGTGTGTGTGTTCCACCATCACCAATGTTGATTGTGAGCAGGTCTGGGAAGCCCAGGCATCTGGAGAACAGCTGCTTTATGGCGCAATGGACACATCTTTGTCCAAGAATGAAAGGATATCAGAAGCATCGGCCCTGACTTGCAATAACATCTGTGATTTTGAATCAGAAAACACCTTTTCTATCTTTAAAAACCAGGCCCACACTTTTCTTCCATAAGCCCCTCTGTAATAGCCTATCCCACAAAGCCTTCTCTTGCAACTTCTCTCTTCTCAGTATTTTTATTAATAGCCCTTCCTATACAACAACACCCTCTATTTCACCGTGGTTGTTCAAAGTGCTGAGTGAGCAACAGCTGCTTGTATCAGGGACCATGTATTATGTAGATTTTCTCCACTCTCTCCAGCAGAGTGAAGACGCACAATAAAGTTTGTCTAAATACTCTTCTGCTCGCTTGAATGGGAATAGCAAGGAGAAGGGAGGACCCCTAAGGACTCGCCTAGAGAGAGCCGCTCAGGAGCAGAACAGAACAGTCAGCACAGTCCAGACTCACGCCCTCCTGACCACCCAGCAGAGGGCCCCAGTGGTACTCACCCCGCACATCTATCTGGATTCTCCTGCTCCGTATGACTTTAAGTCCCTCTGCCTGAGCTTCACACCAGTAGGACCCTGAATCTTTCCTCTTCAGGGCGGTGATCTGGAGCTCCGAGGAGTTGTTCCAGCTCAGCCCCAGGGCAGAGCCATCTTTGAAGAAGAAGAACTGGAGCAGGACATCTAACGTCTGTGTTGGGAGTTGGGTCTTACAGGTCAGGGTCATTGAGTTCCCCTCTATGGGCCGAGGAGGGCTGACTGTCAAAAGCAGCGCTAGAGAGAAGGATTAAACACATATTCCAGGGCAATGGCATTCAAAGGTATTTTGTATTCTTAGCATTTGAAACAAGACTGAGAATCTGCCCTAGCTGGTGTGGCTCAGTGGATAGAGTGGCAGCCTCTGGACTGAAGGGTCCTGGGTTTGATTCCGGTCAAGGACACATGCCTGGGATTCAGGCTCGATCCCCAGTAGAGGGTGTGCAAAAGGCAGCTGATCAATGATTCTCTCTCATCATTGATATTTCTATCACCCTCTCCCTTCCTCTCTGAAATCAACAAAAATAAGAAAAGAGTGAGAACCAGCCAACTGGACACACGGATCACATCACCACCCACAAGTGGTCCATGGGCTTTCTTCTGCCATCTGCTCACCCCCAACACACCTGCCTCTGTGTAGCATCGCCTCCTACCACAGGCAACCCTTACCTTTGACTCGGTCCTTACTCACTGAAGTTTCTATCCATGAACTAAGAGCAGCCTTTCTGGAGACCGTGCAGGGATCCTGACAACTGTCATTGCAGCTGGCGTTGGGGAAGACAAAGCTTGAAGTCCGGGAAAGTGAATATATTTCATCCATCCTTGTTGTAGGCCTTAGTGGCTATTTTCTTTTGTCTCCTTTCCCCTGACATCTCAGACTATCTCTTTCAAAGACAGAATATAAAACCTGGAGGATCTGGGAAAGACTTAGAGAATCTCACTTCCTTCTTTACCTATTCTCTTCTGCCCTTATTACTGTAATGAAAGAAGCAGGCATGTACTTGCTTAGAAATGTCCTCAATCCACACGTCTGCACAGCCTATGTTCTAAGACTTTTTTTTTTACTTTTTTTCATATATTTATGTCTGTTTTTTTGTGGGGTTTTTTCTCTTTTTTTCTTTTTTTCTTGTGAGACTTCTTTACAAGCCATGTTTACAAGGAGAAAATTTAATCCATGTCTTGAGCCTTGGGGGTGTATGTTTTTGCCAGAGGAGCTTTTTCCTGGATGAATTAAAGATGGTTATGTTTGTATTCTGCTTTCATCTCATCTCCTTATGGTAGGAAAGAAAGAGGTATTTCTTAAAACTTCCCAAATAGCAGAGGCTCTGAGGGTTGAATAAACAAACCCCTGAATGGCCAGTGCTCTCAGGGATTTTGACGTTTCATGAGCTGATGCATCTTTAATTCACCAGCTAAAAATGCCAAGTGTTCCAGATCCCCGGGGCGTTATTTCTGGTTTGATATCTGTAATCTTTACCCTGAAATGCTGTGCCTTGGGACTTGGAGAACATCAGTTCCAGAATGATGCGACAAGATTGGCCCGTGCTGGGGGGTGGGATGCCCTGCACAGTGGAGTCACTTTCTCTCCTTGGATAACTGCAGTCCCTAGAGGCCTGAGGAGCAGCACAGGTGTAGGTCCTGAGCAGAAAAGGGAAGGAAAAAGGTACCTGGGCACCTGTAGGCCACTTTTCTGAATGAGCCTGGGTTGGGGATGGAGTAGGACATCAGAAAGCACAGTTTTCAAGGATTTGGAGCTCAATCTTACAGCTTGGAGCTTATTTCAAATTAGAGGTCCGGTGCACGAATTTGTGCACAGGTGGGGTCCCTCAGCCTGGCCAGTGATCGGGGCCAATTGGGGCCATCTTGCCCAGTCTCGATCAGGGCCAATAGCGCAGGCCGGGACCACAGGAGGTTGACCAGCCACCATGGGAGGTTGCTGTGGGAGCGCACTGACCACCAGGGGGCAGCTCCTGTGTTGAGCATCTGCCCCCTGGTGGTCAGTGCACGTCATAGCTACTGGCCGGTCGTCCAGTCGTCTGGTGGTAATGGTCACTTAGTCTTTTATATATAGAGATAATTCTCAGGCACAGAGGCTCCATGGGAAATTCCTGGTGGCAGAAGCTTTCATCACCCTGGGTGTGGCTTAGGCTAGGACTAGGCACCTGTGTGCCTTTACAGAGGAAAAACAGGGCCAAGAATAAGACACCGTGGCATTAGCACAGACTCAGACAAACACCAGGCGAGGGACCCAGCCGGAGGAGTCGGCTCTGAGTATCTCTCGTCATAGGAACCCTAATCTGGGGTTCCCTCGCTGCACGTGCAGCCTGTGTTCCTGATGGGACAGGACAGCCTCGTTTAACCCTGTGCTTAGTATTTTATGTACAAAAAGAGAGTTCTGACACATATTACATTGAAACACACTTCAGTGACATATTTCTTCTGGGGGAAATGGCCTCCTCTCTCCATCTGGTAAAGGTAAGACCTTAAGCGAGGATCAGAACAATGAAGTAAGTTTGCAGAAATCAGAGTCCGAGAGAGAAACCACGCTGGGTAACTGCTGTGGCAGCAGCTCAGCTAACACTGGGAAGGAGTCGGCAGCATTATTTTATGTTGCACGTGGCCCCAGGGCTGGCTGTAACGGTGTTCTCCGCGGGTATGTGACTCCTTTCTCCCTCCTGGTGTAACACCCAGCGGAGGACTACACTGGGGCCTCGGAGCCCCTGAGGCTGCGAGGGCAGAGATTCTTCTAAAATCAATCTTTGAGGGAGGGTGGCTGGGTGGGAGGTAATCAACCAAAGACCTTGTATGCATATATGCATAACCCGTGGACACAGACAGTGGGGTGGTGAGGGCCTGGGGTGGGGTGCGGGGGCGGGCTGGAGGAAATCCATGGGGAAAAGGGGGAGCATATGTAATACTTTCAACAATAAAGAATTCTGAAAAAAATTTGTTATGTAAATAAAGTAAAATCAATCTTTGATACCCATGACCTCTGTGTGCAAGCAGCATATCCCTCCCTAAGCTGGGACTTCCCAGGGGAAAAAAAAAGACTGTGGTTTTGAGGGAAGACCAACACCTGCTCCCCGAGCTGAACATGCAAATATCAGGTACAGAAACAAATGTGAACACAGCAGCCGAGGCCCGAATGAGCCACAGTTGTTTATACACCTCGGTAGCTGTCACCAGATGTCAGACAGCCACCCATTGGCCTCCGGGGTTGGCCCACGTGTCAAGGTACCCACCGACCATGAAGAAGAAAGGGAAGTGCAACTCACCTGTTGGTTCACAGGGCTGACCTGGGAGAGAATTCGGCAGAGGTCAGTGCGGAACACCAAATCCAAAACCCATGCCAAGTTTACTTTTCCAAAGAGTTTCCCAACAACAGACCCTCCCTCCCTGCGCCCTCCCCCACATCGTTCCCTTCTTCTTCCTTCACTCTTTCTCTCTTCCCTTTCTTCTCTTCTTTCCTCCCTTCCTCCTGATTTTTACCCTTCCTTCCTTCCTTCCTTCTTTCTCTCCATTCCTTTTCTCACATTCCACATCACCCATAAGACACCTGCCCATACACAACACATAGTTCATTTTATGATTATAAAGCAATTTCCAAGCCTTTCTCTCATTTATAATTACACGATGGTGCCTTTGTTTTAGAACCACTTAGCAGCTCCCTTCTTCAAGCCGCCCATTTCCAGGCCCTCCTCTCAAAGGTCCGGATGACCCCGCTCTAATGCTGCCTCATGTAACGGGAGCCAGGACAGGACAGCGGGAAGGCTCAGGCCTGGTGATCACTAACACTGCACCTGCTGTGGGAATGCAGGCTTTACAGCCCGATGGCACTGGTAAGAGGCTCTTCCTCTTACACGGTGTGTCACCCTGAGAAAAAGGTTTCATCTCTCTGTACTTTTCTTTTCTGAAAAAAATGGAGACAATAACAGACTTGCCTCGTAGAGTTTTGTGAGAATTAAATAAGTTGATAGCCATATGTAATACCCTTTGTAATACTTTTAGCAAAAAAAATTAAAATTAAAATTAAATAAATAAATAAATAAGTTGATAGCCATAAAATGCTTAGAATAGTGCCTTGAATTTATTCAACATTCAGTAAATATTATCTCATTATTATTGTCATCTATTTAAGCCCATGTTTAGTCTGAGATGCCTTCTTTTTTTAGGTTAAATGTTTATTATTTAAGAAATTAGTTCCTCGGGTAGAAGAAAAGAATGGATAAAGGCTTACATAAAAATCACATTTTTCTTTATTCATCTATACAACAAATACTATATATGAGGCATTGTAGATGGCACTTATGTTACAGGAATAAAGATGAATGGTAGTCTTTGTTGTCAAAATTTTACATTTCAGTGGAAGAGAGCCAATTAAAAATAAATATATGACATAATTTCAGAGTGATTAGCGCCATAAGGAAAATAAGTCAGATAAATAAGTTACTGATGATCTTATGATGGTCTTGACTATAGATGTCAATCGAGGAGAAACCTAAGTGAAATTAGGGTGAAAGCCTACTGAGTATTAGGAAACGATCATTTCTGGAAGGGATGCAGCGCCTGCAAAGATGTTAAGAAGGCATCACCTTTCCCACGGTGGGATACGAAGGCCAGCGCATCCGGAATCGACCCGGTGGACCGACAGTGGTTGATACCGGTGTGAGAGAAATAAGCAGGAGCCAGTCCGGGCATTTCTGGACTTGGTAATAGTTTGGGATTTTATTTTAGATTAGCGGCCTGATTGTGCCTTTGGTATGAAGTCACATGCAGCTGCTCAGGCACAGGTGTGGACCATGCAGAAACCTGTGTTAATCAGGAGACTGCTGTGGGGGAAGAGAGATGAAGGTGTATGCAACGGAGTATTGTGCTGGACTAGAGTCTAAGTTGACCACTGTGAGAAGAGAGGATGCAGAGCATAGTAATTGACAATGGAAAAGTAATCTTAGGGAGCTGAAGACATGTTGGAGACCGAGCATTAGAGAACATGAGCTGGAGATACAGTCTGTTAGTTGTGTGGGGAAGGGGGGCTGATGCTGAAAACAACGATTTTGGAAATAGGGCAGTTGTTAGCAATGCTCTAGGGATTGATGATAGGAATGGAAGGTCATAAAAAGATAAAGAAAAACAATGTTTATAGTAAGAAGGGCAAAGAACTGAGAGACCAATTTGTTGTACAAACTATCTTTGTGGCTATTGAAAATACCAAAAACAAAATCATCCATTAAAAGCAGAAAGACATGCCCTAGGCAATTTGGCTCAGTGGATAGAGCGTGCGCCTGGGGACCAAAGGGTCCCGGGTTCGATTCTGGTCAAGGGCACATACCAGGGTTGGAGGCTCCTCCCTGCCCTGGGTCCTGGCCGGGGCTCTCACAGGAGGCAACCAATCGATGTGTTCCTCTCACATCGATGTTTCTCTGTCTTTCCCTCTCTCTCCCACTCTCTCTAAAAACTAATGGAAAAATATCCTCAGGTGAGGATTAACAATAACAATAAAAGAAAAAAAAAGTAGAAAGACAGCCCGGCTGGTGTGGCTCACTGGTTGACCATCAACCAATGAACCAGGAGGTCAGGGTTTGATTCTCAGGGCACATGCCCAGGTTGTAGGCTCCGTCCCCAGTGTGGGGCAAGCAGGAGGCAGCCGATCGATGACTCTCTGTCATCATTGATGTTTCTAACTCTCTCCTTCTCCCTTCCTCTCTGAAATCAATAAAGAATATATAAAAATAAATAAATAAAAGTAGAAAGACAGACGGTGAACACATCCTATAAGATAAAAGCTAAAATGATCATTTCCTTTTTAAAAACCTGGCTTTCCTGTATCTACCACTTTCTGCCTGACTCCACCCTCAGTTGGAAGTAGAGATCCAAGCATCCTTGAGCATAGCCAGGCAGACTCTTCTCCTGAGAGTCCCACAGCCCATAGAAGACAGAGCCCCCATGTGATGGAACCCCAGACTCCGCGTTGTCCTACTCACCACAGAGCAACAGCAAGAGCTTCAGCAGCATGAGGACAAGGCCAGGGACTGGAATCTGAGATGCTCTCTCACCAAAAAAAGCATTTACCTCAGAGTGAAGAGGTGAATTCCTCAGATGTTTGAGGAAGTCGGGACCGGAAGTCACCCTGCAGTGTAAGTTTACAAAAATAGAAGAAGAAACAAGGGTGCTCCAATGGCCAGTTTCTATTTTCTGTTCTGTAGAGGCTGAGAAGATGAAAGGTGCCCTGCCAAGCTTCAGTCAGGATGCCAAGGGCCAGCCAGGGACAGCAACTGGTAACGACTTGCATGAGAGAACCTCCTGGAAGGCCAGGAACCAGCACACCATGTGGCCAGATTTGGACAAAACCAGAGCAAAATCCAACAAACTCCACAAATAACAGGTTGAAAGGGTACTAGTAATAGCAGCAGGCTCAAAAATAGGTGGAGAAGAACTCCACTTTTTAAATCTTTTCTTTATTTGTTCATTTATATTTTATTTTTTTCATTTATTTTCTCTTTACTATTTCTGTTTTATCTCTTATTTATCTCTTCTTTTCTTATCTATTTTTTCTCTTTCTCTTTTCTTTTTCTGCTGTTATTTAATTGAATACTAGGGGCCCAGTGCATGAATATTCGTGCACCTTGAAAGGAACTGTGGGCCACAAGGTTGTGGTGGGCACAGGGGCAGGTCTTGGCCCATCCTCTGTGCCCCTGCACGGCCCCTCCCACTCTGGCCCTCAGTCCCCTGTCTGCCGGCAGCCCCGCTCCTGCCGGCCCCGCTCCCACGCGCTGACAGCACCGGCCCCGCTCGCACCCACTTACAGTGCAGAGAGATTAGGGCCAGCACCGTCAGTGGGTGCGAGCAGTGGCTGCTGCCCTGATTACCCCTCAGGAGCAGGGAAAGGTGGAGAAGCCCTGAGGGGTGATCGGGGCCAGCAGCTGCCACTCACAGCCACTGACGTTGCAGAGTGATTGGGGCCGGTGCCAGGCACCAGCAGTGGGTTCAGTGGTGGCTCGAGTGCTGGCAGCAGGTGGAAGCACCGGGCGGGACTGCAGTGTGCGAAAGCAAGGAGTTTTCAGTAACCACCAGAGGCTTGCCCTGATGACAGCAACTGGTGCCCCGCCCTGGTCTGGTGCCCCCACTCACCTGCTCCACCATCTGCCGTGGCTGACGCCCACCATATTCTGCACACACCACCTGGTGATCAGCGCACGTCATAGCAACCGGTTGTTCAGTTGTTCTGCCATTCAGTCTATTTGCATGTTAGCCTTTTATTATATAGGATTTTATTTTATTCATTATTATTACTGTTTTTATATTATTATTATTATTCCACTCATTATCTTTATTTTCTTTTGTGTTCTTATTCTGTTTTCCCACTTTCTTCTCTTCTTTCAAATTTTCTTTTTTCATTTTTTTCTTTTAATTCTTTTGGCCTCTTATCTTTTAGTATTCATACATTTTTTCTTAATCTTTTTTTGTTGTCTTTATTTTATTGTTGATGATGGTTTGGTTTTTTTTTGGGGGGGGGGTTGGTTTGCTTTTGTTTTCTCTTTATTTTTTTTCTGTCAGTTTCTGCATAACAGTTGGCATGAGGTGGTCGGGGTTGAGCCTCAGAGTCAGCCAGCACGAGGGCTACACCCACCTACTAATGGGACAACAGCAATCAAGAGCCAATCACAACAGGAGGGCCCACATAACCAATGCAAATGACATTTCTACAACACCCAGCTCAGAAGATCAAGGAGACTACACCACTGGGTCCCACAAGATAATCACTGCAGAAGGCCACCCCACCAAGATAGAGTAATAGCTGGCCTATCCATTACATAGAAACAGACAGAATAAACAGCAAAGATGGGGAAACAAAGAAACAGACCCAAATGAAAGAAAAGGAAGAAGCTACAGACAAAAAAACTAAATGAAATGGATGCAAGCAATTTATTAACAACAGAGTATAACGTAATGGTTTTAAGAATGATCAACAACATGAAAAGGGGCATAGAAACCATGAAAAACAACCAGTCTGAAATAAAGAATAGATTGGAAAGAATGATAGTAGCTTAGACAAAGCAGAGAATCAAATCAGCGAATTAGAAGACAAGGAAGAAAAAAAATCACTCAATCAGAGCAGCAGAAACAAAATATAATTAAAAATCATTACGATAATTTAAGGGGACTTTGGGACCACATGAAACTTAACCACATCCACATCATATGGGTAACCCAGAGAGAAGGAAGTGAGCAAGGTATAGAGAACCTGTTTGAAGAAAAAATAACAGAAAACTTCCCTAACCTGGGGAAGAAAAAAGTCACACAAGAAAGAAGAAAAATCTCAAATTTAAAAAAAAAATCTAACATTTTATCTTAATGATCTAGAAAAAAATTAAGGCCCAAAGTCAAAAGAAGAAAGGGCATAATAAAAATTAGAGCAAATTTAAATAAAATAGAGAACACAAAAACAATAGGAATAAATTCATTTAACAAAGACATGGTTCTTTGAAATGATTAATAAAATTGGCAAAATCTTGGCTAGACTCACTAAGGAAAGAAGAGAAAACAGTCAATAAACAAAATCAGAAATTAAAGAGGAGAAGATACAAGACCCCACAGAAATACAAAAACTATATGAGAATACTATAAAAAAGCTATATACCACCAAATTCGATGACCTAGAAGAAATGAACAACTTCTTAGACATCTATCACCTTCCCAGATTGATTCATAAGTAATTGGAAGGTCTAAATCAGCGGTTCTCAACCTGTGGATCGTGACCCCTTTGGGGGTCGAACAACCCTTTCACAGGGGTCACCTTAGACCATCGGAAAACACATATATAATTACATATTGTTTTTGTTATTAATCACTATGCTTTAATTGTGTTCAATTTGTAACAATGAAATTGGGGGTCATCACAACATGAGGAACTGTATTAAAGGGTTGCGGCATTAGGAAGGTTGAGAACCACTGGTCTAAATGGACCAGAAAACACTAAAGAAACTGAAACAGTCATCAAAAACATCCCCAAGTTGGAGAAACCAAGATGGCGGCATAGGTAAACACCGGAAATTGCTGCCACGCACAACCACTTCAAAAATACAACTAAAAGACAAAACGGACATCATCCAGAACCAGAGGAAGGCTGGCTGAGTGGAAATTCTACAACTAGAAGGAAAGAGAAAAGCACACTGAGACTCAGAGGAACTGCGGAAGTAAAGTGCAGAGGTACTGAGGGGCACGTGGAAAGGGCTGGCAACTGAGGACATGGATATCTTTTTCAATCGGGAGGGAGTCTCAAGCTCCCGACTGCTCTGAACTCCAGTTCCGGGCGAGTTTCTGGGGACCTAGACTCATACGGGGAGAAACTGGACTGTCTGGCATCTGTGGGAACTCGAAGGCGGCTTTCTCTCAGAGGTGCTTGCAGCGATTACTGGGACACTGAGATGCTGGGCCTCTTAGGGTAGGACTGAGGAGCAGCCATAGCTGCTTGCCTCGCCCCGTTAATCCCATGAGACCCCGCCCCACCCAAGCTGTGCACGGAGGCTTTTGCATATGAAAGGCCTGGCCCTTTGCAACCTGAAAATTACCTAACAAACTGCAGCTGAGTCAGAGAGACCCAGAACTTCCAAAAGAAGGCCCAAGGCCTCACAGCAGCTTGCATTGCTTCACAGCTGGACCTCATCTGGGCACCTCCAAACCCCAAACAAAGAAGAGGAATCTACAGCTCTTCCATAGCTCCTGTTGGGTAGCCTCAGGCAGAGGCTAAATTAGCACCTCCTTAGAGATCCAAGAGCCAGTGTACCCAGTGGTCAGAGTGGGACCATCCAGATTACAACTCCTCAGATCCATAAGGAACACATTCAGGGGGCAGACTCAGTGAGCACCAAAGCCCCACTGAAGCAAGTCTTGCCCCAGAAGGGTGTCTCCAGCACAGAAGTTCTCCAACTGCAGACACAGCTGATTCTCACAGCCAATTGGCCTGGAGGTCAATTCCTCTCAGTGATATCTACAACAATCAAGGCTTAACTACAACAAGACTGTGCACAAAGCCCACAAAGGGGTGCACCAAGAGTGTCCACCTCAGGTAATTGGGGAGGCTGAGTCACTGGACCCTATAAGACACCTAGCACACAAAGCCACTCTATCAACACAGGGAAGCATAAAAAATGTGGAGACAAAGAAATAGGTCACAAATGACAGAAATGGAGGAAAGCAAACTACTGGATATAGAGTTCAAAACCACACTTATAAGGTTTTTCAAGAATTTTCTAGAAATCGCCGATAAATTTAGTGAAACCCTCAAGAAATCTAGTGAGACCCTCGAGGATATGAACAAGGACCAACTAGAAATTAAGCATACACTGACTGAAATAAAGAATATTATACAGAGTTCCAACAGCAGACTAGAGGATCACAAGAATCAAGTCAAAGATTTGAAATACCAAGAAGCAAAAATCACCCAATCGGAAAAACAAAAAGAATCCAAAAAATATGAAGATAGTGTAAGGAGCTTCTGGGACAACTTCAAGCATACCAACATCCGAATTACGGGGGTGCCAGAAGAAGAGAGAGAGCAAGATATTGAAAACCTATTTGAAGAAATAATGACAGAAAACTTTCCCTACCTGGTGAAAGAAATAGACTTACAAGTCCAGGAAGCGCAGAGAACCCCAAACAAAAGGAATCCAAAGAGGACCACACCAAGACACATCATAATTAAAATGCCAAGGGCAAAAGACAAAGAGAGAATCTTAAAAGCAGCAAGAGAAAAACAGTCAGTTACCTACAAGGGAGTACCCATACAAATGTCAGCTGATTTCTCAACAGAAACTATGCAGGCCAGAAGGGAGTGGCAAGAAATATTCAAAGTGATGAATACCAAGAACCTACAACCAAGATTACTTTACCCAGCAAAGTTATCATTCAGAATTGAAGGTCAGATAAAGAGCTTCACAGATAAGAAAAAGCTAAAGGAGTTCATCACCACCAAACCAGTATTATATGAAATGCTGAAAGGTATCCTTTAAGAA